TTTTCAGAATTAACTGATGCTTGCAATTGCAAATGCCAAATTTTTTTATAAATCGAAAAAACGTCAAAATAAATCTCGAACTTCGATGGAATTCCAGAAAAAATTTGTGTTTTAAATGAAGGTCTAATTTGTGCATTTATTGATAAAACCCTCATTAAAATGAAAAATGACCGTTTTTCATCAATTTCGCTACATCATCTTTGAACCGCATTTACTGAATTTCCATTAAGATCGCCAATTTAATAAAATCTCTTATGTATCGAATTTAGGACCAGTTTGTTCCAACAAGGATTTTTTGTAAAAAAAATTTCTGTTGTAATATGAATTTTCCTCGGAATTTTCATTCATTTTGCAACAGGCGATTTTGGAGCTTTCTATAATCTTAAGAAAAAGATAAGTCAAAGGAACTGTATGCGAGACTGTATGAGAAATTTGTGTTTCGAATTTAATGTTGAAATTCAAATTTCCATTCATTTCGCAATATGACTTTTTGGGATTTCGAATTAAATTAAATGGAATCTCCGCGAAATTGGAGCAACTTTTGTTATCAAGGATTAATTTAGACCCTTAAGCATTTACTGATAACACTTTTTTAATGAAAAATGTCCGTTTTTCATCAAATTTACCATCAAGCACCACCTTTTTTTTTCTCCATCTCCATTGAAAACGTCAAATCAAATGGGACCTCCTCAAAATTCGAAAAATATGTTTCGAATGTAGGACCAATTTGCTCCCACAAGCATTTTTTCCTACATTTTTTCTGTTGAAAGCCTTAAATTCGAAACACAACTTTCCAAGTTGTTTGTAAATGCGTAATGCTTGTTTAAATTTTATCGCTTTCGCTTTGTAATTATTCAGTTTAGATAGGTGCAGAAGTAAGACTCATTTGGTCAAGTTTGAATAGTTTGTAAAAGGTTTTTATTTATTCGTTTGCGATACGGAGTGTTTATCAGGCAAAAGTTAATTAATTTTAAAGAAATGCACATCTGGTGCTGGTAAGAGATTTCAACAATTTTAGTTTAAATAAGAATACAAACCTACGTATTAAAACTTAAAGGATTTAAATTTCATGTTGGTGCATAGAACCGCAAGTAAGAACTTTCTATAAAGCGCTATGCTGAGGAAACGTTTATAGAATCATCTTAGAAATGCACATGCAAAATTTTGTAAAACTCTACTTTCCTAATGAACCATTACAATGCTAATGGCCGTTTGCGCCGACAAAGTTAAGTGGAGCTTAGCTTAAGCGTAGCTTAAAATCCAAGGCAACGATTATTGAGACGTTGGTTGCCATGGAGCTTCTAACAGCTTTCGTACAATGGCATTTGGATGTTGGAATCTGCTCGCGATATTCATACGACCTCCAAAACCATCACAATTTCTAGTGAATTTTATTAAAGTACTCCTAGAAAATAGTCTAGGGTCGATATTCGTAGGACGACTCATGCTCCGAAATCGATAATAAATATCTCATTGGAGCATGCGCCCCAAACGATCGAATTGACCTACGACTCTTGCATCCGAAATCGATAATCATTCACACAGAACCGTACTAGCAAAGATTCGAACTCACACAGCAGAGTTTCAAACCTTGTTATTTTCTAGTGACAAATCTAGTGACTTTTTGATTTAGAACTGGCCTTATATAACGCACGGATTTTGAAGCTAATTATTTTTGTAGTTACTTTACTATGCCTGCTTGGCAAACCTTAGTTCAAAACCACACTAGCAAAGATGCCAACCCACGCAGCAGATTATCAAACCTAGTTTTTTTCTAGTAATTGTCGGTATCGATAATCATTAACCGTGGCAAACCTTAATTCGCCACGTACTACCAAAGATGCGAACCCACACAACAAATTTTTAAACCTAGTAGTGACTAATCTAGTGACTTTTTTATTAGAGCTGGCCTTATATAAACGAGCGAATTCTAGCAGAGTTTCAAACCTGATTAGCTTTTTAGTTAATTTTCTAGAAACCCTGCTTGACAAACCCTAGATCAGAACCATACTAGCGATGATTAGAACCAACGCAGAAGAGTTTCAAACAATACTTTTCTAGTAACTTTCAAACCTAATGACTTTTTGGTTTAGAATTGGCCCTATGCGCGCTAGCAAAGCTACTTTTCTAGGGACTTTCCACATCTAGTGACTTTTTGAGTTAGAATCGGCCATATATTACTGGGTCCCTAGCAGAGTTTCAAATCTAGTTACTTTTATAGGGACTTTTTTTGCATCTAGTGACTTTTTCTAGTGACTTTTTGAGTTAGAATCGTCCTTATGTTAACTAACCTCTTTTAGGATATTTTTAGAATATTTAAAACCTTCAAGATATCTAGAATCTTCTTAGAATTTCCTTATCCTCTTATTTCTCTCTCATCCCTACAATCTTCCAATAACTTTTTATTTTTATTTTATTTTATTTTGGTCTTTATTATTTTGAGTGGGCGGGTTTCAGTCAAGGGCTGCGCTACCCACCCACTATATACTTACAAATAATCATGCCCGAACTGATTCTAATCAGTACAGCAGTCGAGTTTCCACACAGCGACCTTCTCAAGACTCGTTCGCAATTGTCTAATGAGAACCGCACATTCTTCGCGATTACAGGAAGCCTGGAATTTTTTTATAATGCCCCTAAAATCTCCGTAGAATCATACATTTTCTAACTTTTTCAGAATCTTTTTATACTCCTCTTAAAACCTTCTTTTAGAATCTTTTTATAATGTCTATAGAATTTTTAGAACTTCTAGAACCTTTAGAATCCTTAAAATGTTGTTAGAATCTTTAGAACCCCTAGATACCTTCAGAGTTATTACAATCCTCATAGATCTGTTTTCTCACAAACTCCTTAGTGCTCTTGAAATCCTTTGGAGCGCAAAGAAACGAGTCGGTATAGACGTACGGTATAATTTTATACTCGTATTTCGAAATAAGATGTTACCAATGTCATTTGCATAGTGGCATACGGCCTCTTGGGTTCCAAAAACATTTTTGTTCCAGGGGAACTTCCTTCAATGTATCAACTTTCATATTGTTCGTATGACTACTGTCCATTTAGCCCAGAGTTTTTCCGGGTCTTTCATTTCTCGTGCAAGAGCGCAGTGTTCGTGCGCCACGAGTTCGGCTTTGTTTAAGCGTTCAATGGTGACTCACCATTAATCGAGATTCATTTTGCCCATGTATTCAATAAGCTTTTGCCTCTTTTTGGAGTGGAGAGTCCCTATGGACCGATAGCAGTGATTCATGTCTTTTGGGAGGGTCCCATTTCGTCTCCTGTGACAATCCTAAAAAAATAACACTCCATCTTCTTGTGCAACACTGGGCTTTTCAATCGTCGATCACGCAGCAGTAAATCTTCAACAAGTCGTATGGTTTTCTTAGTTCTTGCCTCATCTTGAGTTCTTGCCTCATCGAGTCTCCATTCGCCCCCATTTCTACCAATCCGTTTTTACCACCTACTCTTTACCGCCACCGTATTTACCAACGTATTCTGTTTACCACCGATCGTCATTGGTCTAAGTTTGTATTGTAACAAACTTCAACTCGTAAACTGATAAATGCTTTCGTAGGGGAACTGCAAAAAGAACAAGTAGACACCGAAGCCATGTTACGCGAAGTAGACCTGGGTAGAAAAATGAAACGTACTGAAAACCTAAGTAGAATAAAAACGAAAGTCTTTATTATACCTACATCATTATTGAGCAGCATTGTAATACTCATTTTACTAATTCCGTCGGTACGTATGTTCCGAGGGTTTTAAATTGCACCACTGACAGCACTTAGAAAGTCGTTCCTTTCTAGTTCAAGCATTGAATTTAATTCAATGGTTCAAGTAAGAACCCGAATGGTTTTCGACAGCAAAGATTTAACCATCAATGCTGAGAATCGCACACCATTGATGGCATATACGATAATTTTATCACTTGTTTAATTTGGTCAATTTTTTAATATTTCAGAGAAATTATTGGCGTGGAGTAAACAAAATCGTTTTTCGTAATGCCTGCAACACCCCATGAAAATTTTCTTAAAAGCGACGCAAAATTTTAGCACACGCGCTGCAATAATTTTAAATCCCCCTTTGTCAACTTCAATAAATAGGTATTTATCTTTATTTTTAATACACAACTAAATACTACCGCGCCTAAATTGGCCCCCATTGAGGAATAAACGTTGGCTTTCCGTATTTAAAATGATAAAATGAAGTTGATTCCTAAACGAAAGATACGAGTCAGAACCCTTTTAAGGGTTTAAATAAATTTCCCGATTCGACTTACTAGGTTCTCTTTTTCAATTGATCTGATTTGACTTTCTAATTAATAAATTAACCCCTAGACATTGAGCTCCTCTCGTTCCATTAACATGTTTTGTTTAATTTAAATTCCTTTGAACCGAGACAATTGAGGGATTTGATCGGGTAATTTTTGAATTGTGATACGATGGTTGGCAGGCTGGGGTGAGTTTTGGATAGTTTTGCATTTGAACATATTTACTCTAAAATCACAAATTATTCTTATGTGTTTTACAAACATTGCTGAGGATTAACATAAATTTCATGTCACAGTTACAAGTTTAGAGCAGTTGAACTAATGTTCTTAAATGTCAAAACAACAATTCAATTTATTAATTTCAAATAACGCTCAGCGGTGGACTAGAAAGATCCACGAGGGAAATTTTCGATTATCGTCCAAAAGAACTTCAATTCATTGTTTGATGTAAATTTATTTAAATAGAATTTACACATGTCGAAACCAAATAGATTTCCGCTCGTAAATTTCGAAGTCTAAAAGTGGTGCAGATCAAAGATGTTAAAAATGTGGATCGTTTTAGTTTATTAATCCCGTTGTAACACAGTAGCACTCTATTTTTATAAACAACTCTTGAGACTGGCTTGTCAAGGATTCAATTGAAATGGAAATGTGAAAACTATTTTTAGGCGCGTATGTTTAGGTGATGCACCTTTTTCAACATCTAAGGGGATGGACGAAAATTACTTCTTACCGTAAAATAGTAAAAAAACCGATCCTGCTCCTCACATTGTTTCCAATATAAGCCAAACACATACACAAACACTCGGTATATTTACGAGGAATAAATTCGAATTTTATCTTCCGAGTATTTTAAAACGAAGCGGGTGCGTGTTTCTTTCACAACAACCGACGCGGATTTAATGTTTGGGATTAAGTTGTGTTCAACGGAGGCTGACAGCCAACGGAGTACCTACTTTTCTGCCTCCTTCCGACTCCAAGAGCTTTTCTAGTCGTCCCATTCTGATGTATAAACTTTACGATGTGTTGTTTCGTTCTTGTTGGACTGGTTCTATTGCTCTTCTTTCTTCTTTTACTACATAGTTGCCAGATGGAGACGCATTATTATATCTTTCAGAATGTACGTTCTTCTGTCCCTTTATAAGACGACCTTTTTCAGGTTTTTTAGGGCTGTGAAGTGACACTTAAACTTGATACTCGGATAACATTTTTATAATCAAACGAAATGAGTTTGGGGGAAAATGTGTTTCTTCCGATGGAGATAGTTACAATAGATCGACAAACAATAATAAAGCCAAGTAATTCGATCAAGTGGTGGGTGGAAACAAATGATGTTCACTTCACGGTAATTAAATTCGGGCTGTTTATTTCATATCATTTTGTTTGACACCCATAACTGTTTTGACCATAACCAATATCTGTCACGCACTCTATGCATATATCGGCGTCACAGCAATTAGAGGACTGTGGTCATTGTATGCAAAACATCAGTTACTTTTTCTTGCCCATCGGTTTATTACCCGATTTTGTGACTACTTTAAACCACTCTGATGTAATTTGGCCCTATGAAAATTGGATATTTACAGATAAATGAAGATTTTCATTATATCTGTTATACCAACAAAGAACGGAAGCGTTCATTGAGCGAAAAAGACATTCACAACGCCCCTGAACTGTAGCACTTGCAATTTTAAAAGTTTCAACGTTGAAGTCTAAATGTGAATAGTTTGGACTGTTTATTATTGAATCCTGAAATCTAAACGTTCAAGCGTGTTGCATCTTCAATCTTGCAGCAAGAAATAAATAAATAAGTAAATCACAGGTTTCATTTTAAAAGTACTTGCAATTTTAATGTAGAAGTCTTCAAACGTAAATCTTAAGTACTCAAACGCCAATTTTTAAACTTTATTCTTATATTTCGAAACTTGAATCTTGAGTCCTAGAATTTGAACTTCCAAAAGTGAATTCGTGAAGATCGTATCTTAAAATTTGATTCATATTCACGAGCTTGGAACATTAATCTTGAAGCTTCAATCTTGGAACTTAAAGCTTGTATCTTAAACTTTGAAAATTCCACAACTTTGGTACCTACTTTAAGCTTGAGTGAATGTTTAATGTTTGTGAAGTGCCCCTAAAAAAAGAATAAACTAAAACAGACATCGAAATACAACAAAATAGAATATTTAACCATAACCAAAAACCAAAAACGGCCGTTACCGCAAAGAATATCAGTCTTGTTCGGAACGGGATAGAGGAGAACCGCCATGTTACCGTAAGGAGTACTCAAGCTATTCGAAAGATTGGCGTGAAAGCAATTAACACCATTTTACACATACTTTTGAAGGTGCGTAAGCTTTGTTCCCGTTGGAATTCCCCCTAGTTTGACTCAAGCTCAAAAAGATGATCGTTTGAGATGCACCGTGTGTCCTATTTTTGTTGAAATTACAGTTTTTAAAGATATAGACTTACCATTGTCGCGACCCTGTGTCACATTTGTGAAACTTTTAATACAACAAACAGAATCAATATAGCTACTACGTTTATTTCTGAGATCCAGGACGAAAACGAAAAGTGTGGCTTTTTGGATGTTATCATATCTTATATACCCATGTAAGATAGAAAAAGGGAAAACTGCCCATTTTAGATATTTTTAGATAGAGTAACGTTTTTGAAATTCGACCCAACGTTGGTATTTTTTAAATGCAACACCCTGTATATTTTAACGTCAATTTTTGCATTATTTTTCTTGATTATATTGATGTATCACTACTTATATTTTTTTATATAACTATGTACCTACTATATGACCATATTTATCAAAATGTTGAAATGTTTTACCATTAGCAATTTTTATTGGTCGGCCCTAGTTACCCTGGATGCAATAAACAAAACAAAATTTCTATAAATCCATGACCTACTAATTAAAAACAGTAAAAAAATAAGATTTTTATTGGCAAAACTTAAAAAAAAATAGGCTGTGATACATTAATGTATTCAGGAAAAAAATGCAAAAAAACTGACGTTCACTGCAGGTTAGGTTAGCGTTAATTTTTTGGGGTTTTGTTAGTTGCTATTAGCCCAGCGGTGTGCTATTTCGAATCTTTTTAAATTGTATCTAATTTTTCCCTATTTCCCTTTATCTTTTTCGCCCTTACCTTGCCACCCCCATCATTTGTCTCTTGTACTTCCCGCCTTTTGGTGTTTCCGGTTAGTGTTACTTTTTCATTTTTCCCCACATTTTTATCCTTGATTATGTGATCGTCCCCTTTTTCTTTTCCAAAGATCATTCAATTGTCTTTCTGTCATACGCAACTAAGGCCCTTCCACAACCTTGTACGGACGATTTTTCTCTTTTTACCTCCTACTACCTACCATTAAGTAACGAGGCATCATTAGTAATTTATAACAAAAAAATTGTTTGAATCATTCTCCTGTTGATCACTTGCAGCCATGAAAGAAAATCACATCAATCTTGCCATCAAACGTTCATCTTCCTTTTATTTTATGTTTGCCGTAGCTTCCTCGATCACCAGACCGCAATTTTGTGAATAGCTGCCTAATACGGAAATGGCGCTTAAAATATTACCAGCAGTTAACCTAGTGAGCAGACGTTGTTACGACTATTAGCAATGGCGTAGCAAGACCTTTAGGGGCACGTGTGCTACTGGGATCTGGGAGCCCCTCCTTACTCTTTGTTTATTCAAAATTTTAATGTTATTTTGACTCAATTTAAGTGTTAAATGGCATTTTAATTTTTTTAAATTTGTGTCTGTAAAAAATGTTTCAAATAAAAGTTATTTCCACCAGATTTCTCATCAAACTGTGGCAAGTAGCGCCTATTGACTAAGTGACAGTAGCAAAATGTGCAGTTGCTCGTTTTGCGAGGGCTGGTGTGGGAATAGATGATGTCCGCTGAAGAGTTAATTGAAAGTATTAGTAAGCTATTACTTGTAGTGATATGACACTTTTTCCATGTTACCATTTCTTTCTGATTTGCCAATACAGGTGTCATGTGCAATTGCATTTGGCAAATTTAATGCCCTCAAATTCTCCAGTAAATTTTGTCTGTTCCTCCACCCCGGTGATACTTGCTTCCCCACGGTTCGTTTTACAACAACGGTATTCATATGCTTTCATTTCATAGCCACCATATATTTTTGTATAAATTTTGCTTTATTTTCAGTTTATGGTTGTAGCATTTTTTCAGAATGACAACCTTTTTTTAAAGAAAAAGATGCAGGTTCGTATTTAAAAAAATAAAGTTGATGATGGATCCAAAAAGGGAAACATCGGACTTAAAGTCTAATCATTCCAGCGTGTATGCGAGAAAAAAATTCATTTTTTTTCAAAAAACTCTTCAAATATGCTCACAAAAAAATAAAAAAGAATGTAGCTAATTTCTTTTCTTCTCTACGAAAGTATTCGGGATACCTTCACTTTTAAGTAGCGTTAGTAGGTATGCTTTTTGATTTCACAGATCCCAATCATCACCCTCTAAAGTGTGCCTTTGTTGTGATACGATAAGGATTGTTTCTTTTAGTCAATGCCTATTTGGTAACATCGCATTAGAATATTAGAAATCACGTTTTTATACGAACTCAATTTAATTATTGTGATCTGAGATGGTTCCTAACATATCTTTTTTTGTGTTTATCTGGTATTTGAACAGTTAGAGATTATAAGCCGAAAAAGATACTTTTGAAATATCACGGATACTGTTCGTGCGTTTCGGGCTGATTTTTAGCATATTTTTGGAAAAAAAATACGCTATTATATTCGTTATGGCTGGCTGGCTGGCTGTCCAGCTGAAATCTCAGCAATTACAATAGCTAGAGACTTTAAATTTTCACTAAAAGCTTTCTGTTATAGTGTAGATGTGCAGACTCTAGTCTATTTGAGTTAGATTACTCGTGAGATCGATAATTTTAAACTTTACTAATGAAATACTGATCTGTATTACCAAAAAGGCGCATCATGCATATGTTGATTTACAACCTGTTTTGAAACTTTTAATGAAAATAGCGGAATGCCGACTTTTTGATGAATTTTTGCGAATAAATTTATATCCTGGCACAACACAATTTACCACTACAATGTTATATTTCCCACGTGCAAACATTTCTTGAATGAGATTTCAACAGGAAGATTAGTGAATTAATCCAGCCATATGCCTGATTTACCAGATGTATGGAAGATTTTCTAATATAACCAACCAAACCATGCATATATTGGTGTCAAATATTTACTACCAGTAACCAGGGTTAATACTGTGATTACTGATTACCTATTAAATGGTATAAAAGGCCATTGGGACGTTCTTTAATGCGACGTGAAGGTGCACTTTACCTATACTCAACCTTACTGCACTGTGTAATTCTACAATTATCGTTTTCCCGATTCTGTACGCTATTAACGTTTGAGCACTTTGTTAAACGTGCCGGCTACACCTCCAGGTAGACAATGCTGTGTCAATTTTATTGCAAACTACCACCTTTAATACAAAATCAAATTTCGTAATAAAAGATCTCAAGATTGTGCTGCATCTTAATTTCATGGCTTAACTTATTTTTGGCGTGAATTTTGTTCACTAATTAGACGGCAACATCGAGGCTTAATCGATTTGGTGACTTGCATTTAGGTGCAATACTCAAGTTTTAATTAAGTCAATTTGCGCGTACGGTCAGCAACTTCAGTTTGTGAGAAAGTGCATAAAACATCTCATCGCGATTGTTCTTCGATATTTAATTGCAAAAGGTTATTATACGACCGTTGGTAATCAACAATTTATTTTAATCAACCATTCATAGCATTGTTCAAACGAACTACCTATTGGTCATAAAACTAACACAGGAGAAATTTCATTCAAATTGAATAGCATGAAATATAAGTTGTTCAATTAATGTGACTCAGTAATAAAATACAGTCACATGTGGACGAAAATGTACAGTATTAATTGAGCTTA